TCCTTTTTTAAGGCGAGAATAACCCAAAAAAACACATTTAATGGCCTTTGCAGAAAGTTTATCTAAACTTGGAGAGACATTATGAACAAAACAAGTACAACCAAACACATGAGGAGAGACATGAAATAAAGGGTCATTTGGAAAAATGATAGAGTGAGAAATCTGATTTTCAAGAAAGGAAGATGACATCCTATTTATTAAATAAAAAACAAGCAGTGAGGACTGCATCTCCCCAATGATGTACGGGAACATTCATATTCAACATTAGGGAGCATGTAGTTTCAATAAGATGTCTATTCTTCCTATCTGCCATGCCATATTGTTGTGGTGTGTGAGGACATGTAGATTGATGTAAAATACCGTATAAGGATAAAAAGGAAGAAAGTTTAGTAGAAAAATATTCTTTAGCATTATCACTTCAAAAGATTTTAATTATCTTGCCGAATTGGTTCCTAATCTCATTAAAGAAAGACATGAATATAAATAAAAGTTAAGATCCATCTTTCATTAAATAAACCCAAGTACATTGAGAGAATTCATCAATGAAATTTACAAAATATTTAAAACCAAAAGATGTAACACGACTTGGTCCCCAAATGTTTGAATGAATGGTAAAAAAAATCGAGTTACATCTTTGCTCAATTTGTTTAGGAAATGATGACCTAACATGTTTTCCTAATTGACACAATTCACATTTCAAGACTGGAAGTGATTTGAAACTAGGAACATTATCTTCAATTTTGCTAAACTTAGGCGACCCAAATGGTCATGCAAAAACTTTGGTGTTGAGGTCAGAAATCAAGATATGAGGCGGGCTAGTTTTTAGGTAATAGAGATCTCGTGATTCATGTCCTTCTACAATCAGACAACCCGTACCACATTCCTGAATGACAAAGGAATTAACATCAAATGTAAATGAACAATTTAATGAACGAGTCAATTGGCTTAGAGAGATTAAGTTATAAGGACAATGATGGATGAGCAAAACATAATTTAATTTTGAAGGAAACAAAGGAACTTGACCAATACCTTGAGATGTAACATTGGACCCATTGGCTATAGTAACAAGATGAGGAACTTTTGGAGAAGAAATGAATGAAAATAAGGACCTGTTACCAGAAATGTGGTTAGAAGCACCCGAGTAAAGTATCCATGGACCATGACCTTCCACAAATTGAGAAATACACACTGTTGAAACACTTGGCACAGAAGATTGGGCTTGGCTGTTAGATTTTTTAGATTTGAGCCTTAGATAATCTTGGTACTCTTTATCAGAAAACTTGAAACTTGATTTTTCAGATTTTGACACATTGGCTTCCTTGTCAGGAAAACCATGCAAGGAATAGCAATTTTCTTGTGTATGATTCATTCTCTTGCAATATGTACACTAGGGACGCCCCCTTCTGCCACCACGTCCTCCTCAATTGCTACGTCCTCCTCTTCCACTAGGTGCTACCATTGCTGAAGTTTCAGTAGTTTCAACTATGTTTTCATCTTTCACCTAGGTAAGAAGGAACACAAAGAAGTCTAGTGACTAAGTTGTCCATGAAAGGGATTTGATCACCAACCAAAATTTGATCACGTACATGATCAAAATCCAAATGTAAGCTTCTCAAAATCAAAACCATATAACTTATCAAGTTTTTTGTTGACACCCTCCAATGAGTCAACAACAAGAAATCTTTTCGATTCTTTTATTGCAACCCGAGCCTTAACTACATGTGAAATCATATCATGGTTGGTCTAATTGAGAGATGCTACTCTTTGGGTTGCATCAAAAAGATGTTGAATGTCATTAGCAAAAATATCTTGGACTTCCTTCCAAAATTGAATGACATGTCTTAAATAACCTGAGTATCTCTAACACCTCAGGTTCAACTGATTGCCATAGGACAACACATAGTTGGAAATCAAGTTTCTGCCATTAAGATTTATGTTCAGTAGGAATAGCATTAGCTTCCTTCTCCAAATGGTCATCATATCCTTGACCAAGAAACCACAACTTCATCAAGGCAGACCAAGACAAATAGGTTTTCCAATTCAGTTTTGCAATGGTGATGGTGGGAGTACCAAAAAAAGGAAAAACAGGACCTGTGGAGGCCATTTCACTGACAAGGAAGAAGGAGAAGAAATGTGACCACCACGACCCACACTTCTAAGAAGGTAAACCTTGACAACTGAGGTCAGAAACGCGACTTCCTGGGTTGGATTGCGCTCCTCAAGGTGCACGAAACCCCGTGTTCTTTAACGATAACGGAAGTGGCCAAAAAGGACAAACGGTGACAGGCAGCAGCGGAGAGTTAGAGCAGGATCTAACTCGCTTTAATATCAACTTAAGATTTGAATTGTGGCAAAAAATTACCAAGTCTTACACTCAACTGGTATTATATATACATATATGATCAAAATAGGTACACAAATCAGAAACAAGTTCTCGCCTATGGACCTAAACCCCTTTAGTTAGATAGGGCCAAAAAGCAACTTTTATAAAGCTGTAAAACATATAATAAACAATTGTTTTAACAACAACAAAGGCAAGTATAAAGCTAAGGAGAAAGGCTATCATAATTCAACGCAATGTAGTGAGGAGAGGGATCACAAGAAGATTGAGTACCTTTTCTTATGGCAATAGGAAGGAAGTATTAGGAGGTTGGATGAAATCTGGTAAAGGAGTTGGTGTCGGAGAAGAGTCTAGCATTACCTCTCTTATGACATCATCCGGAGCAGGTGCAACATTATTATGTTGGTGTCATTGATATGCATGAAGAGGTGGTATAGTTGTGGTAGCCTCAAGAGTCGAGGAATATCCTAGTGTTATTCAAAGAACTAGAAGTAGAAAAGGAAGAAAAAAAGAACAATTGACCAAGATATGATCAGATGCACCAGTGTCTAGAACCCAAAGAACCAACGAAGGAGATTGAGATATGCACGCAATAGATTTACCAATGTGCACAACTGAAGCAGTAGTGTTAGGGCTCTAGTGACTCTCAAACACTAAAGAAAGTCCTTATATGTAGCTAGAATAGCTTGAATTTGTTCAATGGTTGGAGTGGAATCGATAGTGGGTGTATAAGCTACATTAGCAATACAAGGGGGCTTGCCATGCAGCTTCCAACAGCTATCAATAGTATGCCCAAGGTGGTGACAATGTTCACACTTGGGAAAATTCTTTGAATGAGAAGTTCCACCTTGAGGGTGGCACAAATTATTACTCTAAAAGGCAAGAGTAGAAGTATCACATAGTGTACGAGTAGAAGCCTCAGTAGCTACCTCCAAAGGAATCTAAAGAAGGGCAAAAGATGTTGTGGTAATATAAAGGACCATAAGTGACAAAATCTGGTCCTGATTCGTAGAATACTTCAGAGGCAAACCAAATATGGCAAGGACCATGAAGAAAGCAATATACCCATATTAGAGGCAACATGGGGGGGGGGGGG